TGTCAAATCCACTAATTTCTTCGGCATAATGATCCGATTCCCATCAAAGGTGGATCTATAAATTCCAACATATCCAAATAAAAATTATTAAACTTTCTGATAGGGGACGCAGAAGTAGAATCATGCTAGTTCAGAGACAAAACCCTAAAACACAACAAAAATACAAGAACAAAAAGAAAAGGACAAAATTTGTGATGAAAATAAAGAAAGAAAGGAAATAAACAATGTGATAATAATTAAGGATAAGATCTTCTAGAGCACTTACTTCTAGGAGCCTCAACCTTCAAAGATACTATAAGAGTTAATTATGCTCTTAATCACATCTGTTTCTCACACGGGATGACACCATAAAGCACTAAGGCTTACAAGAGTTATAAATTTTAAAATGAATAATTTCATTCAACTTCTCTTTTGTTTACAAAAGGGAGCATGCCTAATTTATATAGGCTTATAGAGAAGACTATTTCCTAAAATTTAAACCCTAATTTCCTAATACTAAAGGAGAAATAATATTAAATAATGAGAAAATATTTAGCCATATAATTTAGGAGATATGATCTTCGAATTATGGAATTACAAAACTTTAGAAATTAATAATATAATTAATCCTAATCTTTAACTAGACTCAAAATAAAAAACTAAGACTAATCTTGCTCCTTAAGAAAAAGAGTCCAATCAAAAGACCATTAACATAGGAAACAATTTAGGAGACAATCAAGGGATCATAAAGGATTTAGAATCACATCACCCTTGACTTCTTCACTAGGGTTTCATGCCTCCTTGCTTGTAAAAGGCTCAACTTGTAGTCTTCCTTGCATTGGGCTAAGGTTTGCATCTCTTGGGCCTGACTTTTCATAGATTTAGATCTTAATCACATTATATACATATAGATGCTCTCATTTAGGCTTAAGAGGAGTGCCTTAATGCTCTTCAAGCTCTTGGATTTCTTACACAAGACTAAATAAGGCTTGCTTCATGGCTTTAGTTTGGGCTCTTATTATTAGACCTCCAATATGTTGTAAAGGGTCTTTAGGCATGTTGGATTGGAAGTATTGGGCTCCTTGCTCCTTGTCTTGGGCTCTTTTCATGCCACCATGCTTATGATTACCATCCTCAAGCTTCGTTGTCATTAACGGCATATTATCTTTACTATAGGTTCCATCACTTTTTAAGTTAAAGTCAACTCCGCTTATATTTATAACCAGTCCCAAGCTTGGGTAAAGGAGGAAGATTGTGGTAGGCCATCAACAACCAACGTAAAACTTTGTTGAATCTATCATGAACATGGACAATAGACATTATAATACTAATGTTAGGTCGTTGTAAGTAACGCACTACATGGCTCGAGTGCAGTGATAAGTAAATTAGAGCCACTACATCGGTGCCTAGATGTAGTGTTAAATGAGTAAGGGCTATTGCGTCATTTTGAAAGTGCACGGCTAAAGAAGTTAGTCCATGAGAGCAAAATTATATTTAATACTTGGAATGTTGGGACATTAAATTATAAATCTATAAAGGTTGTAAGGGTTATGATTCAAAGAAAAATCAATATCCTATACTTGCAAGAAACAAAATGGTGTGGAGAAGAAGCTAAGGATATTTAAGGTTTCAAACTTTGGTATACAAGAAAAGTAAGTACACACAATGGAGTAGGCATCATTATTGATAAGGAGTGGAAGAAGAACGTTGTAGAAGTTAGCAGAATTGGAGACATAATTATTTTCTTAAAAATGATAGTTGGACATGAGATTGTTAATATTGTTAGTGCTTATGCGCCTCAAGTCGGGATAGAAACCAATCTTAAGGAATTATTTTAGGAAGACTTAGAAGGATTGATTCAACACATACCACAAAGTGAAAAGATTTTTATTGGAGGAGACTTTAATGGGCATGTTGGGAGGGAAGCTGGTCAATATGAGAGGGTGCACGGTGGTTTTGGTTTTGGAGAGCTAAACAATAAAGGACAAACTCTTCTTCATTTCTTGTTGGCATATAATTTAAAATTGCCAACACTTGTTTCAAGAAGAGAGATGAGCATATCATCACTTACAAAAGTGAAGCCTTAAGGTCACATATTAATTTTCTTTTGGTTAAAAACATGAATAGAAGACTCTATAAAAATTACGAGGTGATTCTCGAGGATGCTATAACAACACAACAAAAGGTCCTTGTCCTTGATGTGTGTATTATGAGTAAAACTCAAAAATGTTGATAAGTAGTAGTACCAAGGATTAGGTGGTGGCAACTAAAAGGTGAGAAGCAAGATATTTTCAAGCAGAATCTTTTAGACAAAGGAATTTAGAAATCTCAATGAAGTGTTAACATCTTGTGGGAGGATATAGCTAAAAAAATAAGGGAGGTTACAAAAGTAGTTTTGAGAGAATCAAAAGGTTTTGGTCTGAGAGATAAGGAATCTTGCTGGTGGAATAATAGTGTACAGGACAAAATCAAACATAAAAAGAATTGTTTTAAAGCCATAGATTTGTGTAACAATGAGAAAAATTGGAAAAGGTATCGTATGACTAAGAAGGAAACTAAGAGAGTTGTGAGTAAAGCTCGTTCTAAAGCTTTTAAAAAATTTTATAAGAGCCTTGAGACAAAGGAAGGAGAACGAAACATTTATGAGATTGCTAAGAGTAGGAAAAGAAAATCAAGAGATCTAGATCATGTAAGGTGTATAAAGGATGAAGAGGGAAGAATTTTAGTTACAGATGATGAAATTAGAAACAGATGGAAGACTTATTTTTCTAAATTTTTCAATGATAGAAAGGGTTCATCTAGTAACTTGGAGGATTTAGTAACTCATGAAAGAGAACAAAATTTGTCATTTTATCGAATATTATGTGATAAAGAGGTAAAGAAAGCTCTTAGGTCTGTTTGGTTCGAAGGGAGGGAAGGGGGGGGGGAGGGAGGTGAGGGGAGAGGGGGAAGGGAGGGGGAGGGGGAGGGGGAGGGGGAGGGGGAGGAGGGGAAGGGGAGGGGAGGGGAGCTCCCCCCCAATTTGGAGGGGAGGGGAGGGAAATTTTAAAAATTTCCCCTCCCCTCCTCCTAACCAAAGGAGGGGAGGGGAGGGGAGGGACTCCCCTCCTCCTAACCAAATAAGGGGAGGGAAGAGGAGCCCTTCCCTCCCCTCCCTCCCCCCAACCAAACAGGGCCTTAAGAAAATGACAAATAGTAGAGCTAACGAACCTAATTGTATATCTATTAAAGTGTGAAAATGTTTAAGAGAAGTAGGGGTGAGATGGTTAACTAAGTTATTTAATGTGATTTTATGGTCCAAGAAAATGCCTGACAACTGGAGGAGAAGTACATTAATTCCTATTTATAAAAATAAAGGGGATATTCAGAATTGTACTAACTATAGAGGGCTTAAACTCATGAGCCACACAATAAAATTGTGGAAGAAAGTAATTGAACATATGTTGAGATTAAAGACATGTATTTCTAAGAATCAGTTTGGTTTTATGCTAGGTAGATCGACTATAGAAGTGATCTATCTACTAAAGGGATTAATGGAAAAATATCGTTACAAAGATAAAGATTTATACATGATTTTTATTAATTTGAAAAAAACTTATGACCATATACCAGGAGAAGTGCTTTAGAAAGCCTTATAAAAGAAGGGATTAGGGATTGCTTATATTAAAATTATACAAGATATGTATGAGAGGGTAAAAACTAGTTTAAGAACGTCTGGTGGTCAAACAAAGGACTTTTCTATAAAGATTGAACTATATCAGGGATCATCTTTAAGTCCTTATCTGTTTAACTTGGTTTTAAATGTTTTGGCAGAATATATTCAAAGGGAAATTTTCAAATATATGCTCTTCACGAATGATATAGTTCTTATAGCAGAGATAAGAGAAGAGATTAATTGTAAACTTGAGTTATGGAAGAGGACATTGGAGTTGAAAGATTTCCATCTGAGTAGAAGTAAGACGGAATATTTATATTGTAAATTTGATAAGAGACTAGGTGACAGTAATTTGGAAGTAAAACTAGAAGATTAAATTATACCTCAAGTGAAAAGGTTTAGCTATTTGGGAGCCATTATTCAAAATAATGGTGAAATCAGTGGGGATATTTTACATAGGATTTAAGCTGGGTGGTTTAATTAGAGAAAAGCTAAAGGAGTTATTTACAACCATAAGGTGCCTAATAAACTTAAAGGAAAGTTTTATCGTACTGCTATCTAGCCGGCTATGTTATATGATAGTGAATGCTAGGCTCTAACGGGATAGCAAGGGCATAAAGTTAGAGTAGCAGAAGATGAGAATGTTACAATGGATGTGTGGACATACATGTAAAGATAAAATTCAAAATGAGCACGTTTGAGAAAAAGTAGGGGTAGTACACTATTGAGGAAAAAATAATAGAAAATCATTTGAGATGGTTTGAACATGCATAAAGAAGACTGTGGGAGGCACCAATGAGAAAAGTGAAACATATAACTTTAAGGCCTGTTAAGAGGGGTAGATGAAGGCTTAAAAGGACACTCTTAGAAGTTGTTGAATGTAATCTCTTAATTAATAATATTTCTAAAAGCTTGGTAAATGATAAAACACAATGGCGTCTTGCAATCTATATAGCCGACCCTACCTAGTGGGATAAAGGCTTCTTCTTGTTAGTCAAAGTCAAATAACTACATAAATCAATATGAAATATGAAATTTATAACACAATGCATTGTTTATAAGTCATAAACAATGCAATTCACCTCATAATCCTTACAATATAAGAAAAGACACATCTAGTTAAAAACAAGTTACATTCCATTATTATGACAATTTTTTCAAATAAAATTATATATATATAAACATTTTTTTTATATTTGTTGTTATTAAGATGGTAAGTAAAACATTATAAATATCTAGTTCTTGTAACTGCGCATTGTATTGTTTTTTCTAAAAAAGTATATCTACTATATATTAATTATTAAAATTTTTAATCACAAATAAATAAGAAATTATGTAATATAATCCTTGTTTTTTTAATGTACAGGATACAGATATAATGTGGCTAAGAAACCCCTTTACAAGATTAAGCAAGAACAAGAGTGAAGATTTTCAAATCAGCACAGACAAGTATTTAAGAAATCCATGGTCAGAAAGACACTTAATCAACACTGGATTTTACTTCATTCGATCAAACAACAAGACCATTTCCTTGTTTGAAACATGGTACTCGAAGAAGGACAATTCCACCGGACAAAAGGAACAAGATGTTCTATTAGATCTCATAGCACATGATGGGATATTTGGAGAACTAGGGCTAAGAGTAAGATTCTTGGACACCCTTTATTTTAGTGGGTTTTGTGAGGATAGTAAAGACCTTAGGGTTGTCACAACCGTCCATGCCAATTGTTGCCGGAGTATCGCCGCGAAGGTGGCCGATCTCACGATAGTTCTCCGTGATTGGAAGCGATTCAAGAAGATATCAGAAAAGGGTGGTAATTTGACAGCTAACTATCAATGGACAGGACACTTTAGATGTTGGAAGTCATGGAATGCATGACTAACAGTTTAGAGTTACGAGTCTACTTAAGTCTTATTATGTTTCTATTTCTCTCATTTAATTTATTGAATAAATTATGAGTCGGAATAACAATATGATTTTTTAGCTAGGATAAATAAGTCATTTAATTGTTTTGCTATAGCGATTTTAGAGATAGTGGTGTTATTCAGAAAGATTAACTAGAAAAATGCAATCATTTAATTCAAAATAAATCTCAAATTGAATTGAATTGTATTTATTGGCAAATTGAATTTCAAAAGGTAGCTAGGGAAATTATTTTGTTTAGAGAAGAATCTTATTAAAACAAGGAAGTAAAGAGGATGTGGCTCTCATAGGATCCATCTCTGTTAAGAGACATCTGTTCCGATATGATTTACTTTATAAACTTTTTGATAATTTATCAATTAATGTCATGAATATTAGAAGATTTTATGGATGTCTATATAATCTATTCATTTCTTTTATATTTTCTAATATTTTTCAGTTTCTCCAATATCTTTTGGTTATTTGTATTTTGTTATTTTATTTAATTTAATTGATATATCTATATCTATAAATAGAATGCACCTCTATTGTATTCTACATACACAAATAAAAAATTAAAGCACTCAATTTTCTAATCATTCTCTCCCTTCTAGGTTTCTCTCTTCTCTTCTCCTCTCAATCACTATTTTAGCACGTTATTAGCATGATTGCTCCAATACTCTTGGCATCACTCGGTATATATCTGCTCCTATTGTTGGATTTGAGGTTAATGTTTATGCCAATGAACATCTCTAATTAATAGGGATGGACGAGCACTCAATTGAATATTGAGAAAATCTCTATCGTCTATGTACTCTATTTTATTTTATATGTTATTTATTTATTAAATTCATTATTTGTACAATTACTTTCTTCCTCTTCCAAATAATCAAATAATTACATGTAGTGTCTTTAAATATTTTGTGTGCCTCATCAAGAACTAGTAGGAACAACTTAATTTAGAAAAATGGATCCTGAAAATATTCATATTTAATATAGAATGGATTTTAAAGATATTCATATATAATATAAAGTGGATCCTGAATATAGAGTGAATCATAAAGTTATTTACATAGAAAGATATAATATCCAACTAACATCACCATAACACACAACAATCAAACGCCCTATCATGGTGATTAAGGTTTGGATAACCTCCGTGGCTTATTATGATAGAAATGGATAAACCATAATTTAAAATTTAAACATTTTTAAAGTTGAGATCTTAAATAAATCTTTTTAAAATTGTTTGAGCTCAAGCATAAGATAAGTCAGGGTACTAAAATAGTTTGAAGCATCGTAATTAAGTAAGGAAAGATAAAACATTAAAATAGGAGCAAAATATCATTTCACCATTTCCTTGTCCATCTATCACAGCATAAGTGTTATAATATTTACCTTGACATTACTGGAACAAACCATACACAAAAACTTTATCATGGTAATTAGGATTGGACTAATCCTTTTATTATTACCATGATAGAAAATAGTTAAGTAACAATTATATTTTAAAATTCTTTATAATTTTTGGGATCCCAATGAATTCTTTGAGCTCAAACATATGAGAAAACAGAATGTAAAACATTACAAAAGCATGTCAATTAAGCACAAAAGAACAAATCATTGAAACAAGGGTAAAATGGTCATTTTTCCCATTTCTAATTAATTGTCATGGCTAAGACATATGCTCCATGGTGCAAGGCACCATGCATTATAGCACAAGGCAACATGAGCCGTGGTGCACAACCACTACCATGACAACATGCTTCTAGTGTCATGATAACACCCTAGAATGAAATTTTGGCATTCGTTGTTTCATCATCCAAAGTTTGATTGGAGTGATTTAAGTATTTACACGAAGCTAACTGAGCTATCTAGCTAATAGCATCAGTCTCACACACTACTAGAAAAATGAAATTTAGCAAGGACAAATTCATCATTAAATGTCATTTTCCCTTGTTAAATTGCATTTTACTAAGAGATTTTGTCTCTCACTAAATTCATAGTTAAAAAAGACCTCACTAAATTTAGTAAGAGATTGTATTTTCCTTACTAATTAGTGAGGGATTTAGCAAGAGATTTAGTCTCTCGCTAATTTTTAGCAAGAGCCACATCCCTCACTAATCTCTAGCTAATACCATTCAAAATTCAATAACTTTAGCGAGGGATTAATCCCTCGCTAATCCCTCACTAAATATGCTTATATTTAAAAATGGCTATGCCATATCACCAACCATGTATATATCAACTTATGACATATCACCAACAACCTTATGTCTCGTCAACCGTCATGTCACCTACCATCTTTTGCCCCATCACTCACTATATATGCAATAACTCATGACATGTCATTGTCCACCTTGCAATATATCACTTGCTCCTTATCATGTCACATATTTATTATGTTTATACCAAAGTCAAGACTTGAACCCTTGACCTTATACCTTTCAAGCATTATGCTCTCCTTCTTTATCAGTTGAACTGAAAAGTATCTGCGGTCATTATATAAAAAATTAAATATATATTATTTAACTACATAAATATATCAAATAATATATTATAAAAATACACACACACACACACATATATTAAATTTTATTTTCAATTATTAATATGTTAAAAATATTTATATTTTATTTAAATTATTCTTTATATTATATTTTTAATAAAATATTATTTATTAATGAAAATCAACTTAAAATAAAGAAAATATTAAATATTAAATAATTTTATTATGAAAAATTTAGTTAATTTTTAAATTTAATTTTTATTTTTAAATGAAAATAATTAAATATATATAACTAGAAGTCATTGCCAAAAGTTAATTTTTTTTTTTTTGCAGTAATTAGCTAGAGATAGAATTCCTCACTAATTATCTTATTTTAGAGAGGGATTTGTAGGCTCTCACTATTTTTCTCACTATTTATCTTATTTTAGAGAGGAATTGATAGCCCTCGCTATTTTCCTCACTAATTTTCTTATTTTAGAGAAGGATTGACAGTTCCTCACTATTTTTCTCGCTAATTTTAAATCGAGTTACGGAATTACCATCCTTTGCTAATTTCCTCACTTATTTGGTATTTCAAAAAAGAATAGATGATCCCTTACTAAATTCCTTTGCTAATTTGCATTTTTTTAGTAGTGATGTCAAAATAGTATTCTGTTTAAAGTTTGGACACCTAGGTACAAAACTATCTCTTTTCCAACGTATTCTAAACATAAAACTAAGTGCCACTAGTCTAAACCAAAGCTTGAACCACATCCTAAGAATTGATATACTCCTAATTAACTAATCATACAATCAATCATACATGCCAAACACATCTTGACCACCCAAACCCCACATTTAATCATTAAGGGACATAAAAACATAAATATCAATACATAAATCCCATTGGATTTCCCATCACTAGCATATCAAATAAGATCTATTATGCACTTGTACTAATATTTTGGTCTCTCACAATAATTTACCACAATTCCACCATCCTAGGCCAAAATGCAATAAAAGGACAATCAAATTCATGCAAGTGCAACCAAAATAATAATTGTCCTATGTTAGCAATGATAGCATATATATTCAGGATTACACATTAACAAAATAAAAGAGCATTATAAAGGTAGTAGCTTGCCTACTTCTTACCTAAACCACCTTCCCATTTTCTCTTAAAGGAGCCTTCACCTATAAAATTGTAACTACGAAGGTGAAAATAATGTCTCAATAATCAAATAATCTAATATATCTACAAGCAAGCCAAATTGTTAATAAGCAAGCAAAGTAGGGTAGAAAACCACATAGTTGATCACTGTCATACAGATATGCTTAATACAATTAACCATGCATGATTATCACACACCATCCTTAAACCCTTTGGAGTACTTTTGATTGAATCCATGGACTAATAATAATACAACAATACCAAGCCTATGTGACTAAATTGGCCCAAACTCACCAATTGTGGGAGGCAACTCAGCTAAAGGCGCTTTTACCTACTTTCGGACAGCAATTTCTCCCTTTTCAATACTCAAGGTGTGGTGTGTGAATTAAGATAAAAACCACCATGGCAATTTACTTGACAAAGGGAAATTGAATCTAGAAATTCCTCACCAAAGGTAATATGTATGTCACTCATCATTCAAAAGTGTATAGGCTTGTGTTTAAACTCTAATCCACCAATCCAATCCTCATTCCATAAGCTTGACAACAATTTTAATTCTCCACTACTAACAAGACAGATGCAAACATAAATCAAAAGGACTTTTATTAGGTGATAATGGGGCAAGGGTTAAGAAGATAAGATAAATGATGGGGGAAAATAAATGTGAATACCTTAGGAAAATGAAAAACATTATGACACAAAAGAATATGGAACAAAAGAAATGAGACCGAACTTGAGTTGGATCTTTATTCCTCCTTTTCTATTTCTTTTCTTTTCTTTTCTATTGTTTTTTTCATTTTTTTCCATTGGCTATTGACATTTTTTTCTTTCTTTTTTTGTTTACTTTTAAATCTCTTTTTTTTTTCTCAATTTTTTCTTCAAAAATGACTCAAACCCTAACTATATACAAGCTCTTTCACCCAAAACAAGCATAATGTAATGCCTTTCAACTCCTAAAGCATTCAAAAAGGAAAGTGATTTCTTTTTTAATCAAATGGTTAAGGGTAAAAACAAAGAAAATGGTTAAGGCTCAAGGGGTTAAACAATGGGCAAATGCATGAAAAGGGTTGGTTTTTTTTTTTTTGTGTGGCTATTATGGCTAAAATAAAATGAATGCCTTTATCACTTCTATGTAGGGAAATGTACAGAATATGCTCTCAAATAAAATTCAAGTTAAGTTATAGATTAAGTAAAAAGATAGGTGGTACACACACGATGAAAAATATAAAATAGGCTCAAAACCGCACTTAGGTATATGACTACTAGCATAAATTCACTTAAGTCAAATTTGTTGCCACTTAGCTTTCTCACTTAATTAAAACATGCTCAATTACTCTACAAATCAAGAATTCACCACACTTAATTTTCACATTCAAAACAAGAATTTTTTTTTAATTTCCAAAAAAATTCTAATTTTTCCTT